ACAGCAGGAATTGACAAGAACATCTAACCGAAACGACATTTTCAGAAACAAACAAACCCAGACCAAAAGCGTATGGTTTTATGAGTTGAGCTAGAATCTTAACTCCATAACCGCTAACCCCGTGGCTTGATCATTGCTTTTAAGGTATTCTTCATGACTACAGTAAACTCCAATTTCCCACTAAAATCCATTTTGCCACTCGGTGGATAGGCAGTCCATTCAAATTCCTGAACCATTCTTGCTAACATTAGGTGAACATGCACTGTCGCCATCCCCAAACCAGGGCAAATCCTCCTCCCAACCCCAAATGGCATCATTTTCACCCCTTTTACACCTGTTATATCCGCAGCTTCTTTCTCCGAGAAAAACCGATCCGGGTCAAATTGTTCTGGGTTCGACCACATTTTTGGATCCTCACTAATCCCAGGCAAGAAAATCTCAAGATTTGCGTCGGTCGGGATGTCAAATCCCCCCAACGTTGCAGGCTCAGTAGCTGCATGAGTTAGTGAAAAATATGTTGGTGGATGCCTCCGCAACAATTCTTTCACTGTCGCTTGTAAATACTTCATTTTGTCTACGTCACACTCGTCTACTTTTCGATCGCCGACCGTCCATTTAATTTCATCGTAAAGCTTAGATTGAATATCTGGGTTCTCAATCAGCTGTGCGATGCCCCATTCAAGTGCAGTTGCAGTGGTATCGGTCCCGCCATTGAGGAACTCAGAGCAGAGTGTGACCAGCTCTGAATTGGATGGTGCTGATTTTCTTCCTTCAACTTTGAGATCAAAAAGAGTGTCAAGGTACGAAAACGACATGGCGGATTTATCCGATCCCGGATTTAGAAGAGCTTCTCGACGCTTTTCGATGAATGGGACTATATATTCCACTTGCTCCTTACGAACCTGGAGAGCTCTCTTTCTTTGCTTGGAGAAAAAGGGGCTTAAAATGGGAAGGTAATCATCAATTCTTGGATCAAGTGTAATTAAAACAGTTTTCATTACCTGATCCATTTTCTCCACAGTTTCTTCATCCATTTCAATCCCAAAACACATGCCTAAGAGTATACAAAACACTGCGAAACGGGCATTTTTCAGCACCGAAACAACCCCCTTATTAGCCTCGGCTTCAGCTTGAAGGCGATCGATTAGTTTATCCATTGCATGCTGTCTAGTACTACGAAACTCTTTAAGCCTGCTTGAACTCAGCATATTCTGAACCATGTTCCGCCTCAGAGACCGCCACACTGGCCCGTATACCGCTGCATTTATTGTGAATTTGTTGCAGCTAAAGATGTTTCGGGTGGGATTTTCTCGTGGCCTGCTGGCGAACAGGGCACCCTTTTCGATGAATGCTTCATGGCATAGCTTGGCATCGCTGAGTATAATCATCGTTCTAGTTCCCATTCTGAGAGTAAAAATTGGCCCATATTTTTTTCGAAGATCGTCGACAAATTCAAAGAAGGGCTTGCCAGAGCGAGCAGCCTGGAAAAGATTTCCAACAACAGGCCAACCAGGAGGCCCTGGAGGGAGGTTTAGGCGCTTTGATTTTGACTTGCGAGAAAGAAAGAAAATCAGGCATGAAAGGACGAAGGCGACAAGTGTGAAGAAGAGATGGGAGTTAGAGGAGAAAGAATAAGAAGTGAAATGGTAAGAGGAAGTAGCCATACCGAAGAAGTGATGCAGCATGATAGATGATATTTAGACAGGGGTATAAAAATGAGCAGAGCATGAAAATGCAGGTGGGGTTCAATTAAAGCTACTCGCGAAAGGTTTCTACCACCACTGTGTAGGTGGGACGGTCTTAAATGCCGAAGAGACAGAGAACAGCATAAACTATGGGCCGAAAACCATCAAGACTGGCATTGTAATTCCTAGCTAGCTCGCTAAAGGAAAAGCAAAAGCAATAGCAACAAAAACTAAAATGAGTTGCATGACTTTATTGCATGCAGCTACTCATTTAATGACAACTTAGGAGACTTAACTCAGTACTTGTCTTCAGGAGAGCTGAGGCAGAGATATCCGGAAATTGCATGAGATTTGACAGGTCAGAGTTGAACCACCTACGAGTCAGCTGTGGCTCACAGTTCAAGAGATGAAGAGTTCAAGGAGTAGAAATAAATGAAGTCTGTCGTTGACCTGATGCTACATCGTGTCTGAACTCTGGATCGAGGAAGGATTGTGCTTACGTGATCGGGATTTGGATTGGACAAGAACCAATGTACATGCTCGAATCGTAACAGGTGAAGCGTAAGATATATATGTTTTATGGGATAGCATTACATATATTAGAAAGTAATCCCGCGTTATACAACAGATTTGTAAAATTTTTCAAATTATTGGTGAAATAAATTTATTAGAGAAAAATAATATTTTTATTAGAAGTTTGTATTAAATTTTCTTAACAGATATATAAATATGATGAAAAGATATAGAAAAATTATTTATAAAGGTAAAAACTTGAAATAGTAATTGATAAATGGAAAGAAAAACAATTAATAACAGATGAATGATGTAGTATGATATTGTCTGAGTTATTTATCAAAAAATAAAAAATTCATGTTACTGTAGTTTTTTTAGAGTTATATGATTAAAAAGTGTCATGGTATGACAAAACAAAGAAATTAGGGGATTTTTTTTTTAGCCCTCTAAAATAAAGTGTTTTTGGAAATAGGTGTCGAGATAATTTTAACTGTTTTTAACCGTCACATTAGATTTTGAGATAAAAATGCATTTAATGAGACATATTCGTTGAGGTGCACCATCAAACACGCGAAAAATGAAAAAAATAAATAGATAAATATGCAAAATATTTGTGAACTTCTAATTTTGTGCAAAACATTCATTTTTTTAAGCGAAGCTTGTGCGAAGAAAAATAATATTGCACAAGAAGGTTTTTCAGATATTTCAGACATGGCATTTAGATAATACGAGAAGAGGGATATTAAACCGATCGAGGAACCGGTTCTGATGAATCGAAAACTTCGAGAATGATGTGCAACCAGAAATTTGTGATATGGTGGTGAATCGGAAGAAGAAAGATGTGAATCCAAAGCACGAAATCATCGTGCTATAGCAGGGCATATGTGAGACGACTGTGGCACGACAGGGTGTGGCATAAAACGGCATGGTGGGAATGTGTGACAGGGTAGTGACATGGCAGGGTTCAAAGTTTGTGACACGTCATGGAGGGAATCTGTAACACTCCAGAGTTCAGAGTTTGTGACACACCATGGAGGGAATCTGTGACACGCTAGAGTTCAGAGTTTGATACGACATGGAGGGAATCTGTGACACGCTAGTGTTCAGAGTTTGTGACACGCCATGGAGGGAATCTGAGACACTCTAGAGTTCAGAGTTTGTGACATGCCATGGAGGGAATTTGCCATACACCAGAGTTCAGAGTTTGACACGGCATGGAGGGAATCTGTGACACTCTAGTGTTCAAGGTTTGTGACACGCCATGGAGGGAATCTGTGACACGGCAGGGTTCAGGGTTTGTGACACGCCATGGAGGGAATCTGTGACACGACAGGGTTCAGGGTTTGTGACACTCCATGGAGGGAATCTGTGACACGGCAGGGTTCAGGGTTTGTGACACGCCATGGAGGGAATCTGTGAGATGCCAAGGTTCATAGTTTGCGATACGCCATGGAGGGAATCTAAGACACTCCAGAGTTTAGAGTTTGTGACACGCCATGGAGGGAATCTATGACACACCAAAATTTAGAGTTTGACACGGCATGGAGGGAATTTGTGACACGCCAGTGTTTTGTGTTTGTGACAAGCCATGGAGGGAATCCGTGACACGGCAGGGTTCAGGGTTTATGACACGCCATGGATGGAATTTGTGAGACGCCAGGGTTCAGAGTTTATGACACGCCATTGAGGGAATCTGTGACACCCTAGTGTTTAGAGTTTGACACGCCATAGAGGAAATTTGTGACACGCTAGGGTTCAGAGTTTGTGACACGCCACGGAGGGAATTTGTGACACATCAGTGTTCAGAGTTTGACATGCCATGGAGGAAATCTATGACATGCTAGGGTTCAAAGTTTGACACGTCAACATTCAAGGTTTGTGACACGATAGTGTTTAGGGTTGTGACACGCCATTGAAGGAATCTATGACATGTCAGGTGTGTATCAGATCGCATGGGTTGAAAATGTGACACGACATGGTTTGAAAACGAAAGTAAAAAAAGCAGGCAAAGAAATGAGGAAATCGATTCGACTTCCATTGAATGAATATTATAAGACCATCTCATTTTAAATTAAATATTTTTCAGAAATCGTAAACGTCTGTGTGAAGGGTTCTCAGAGAGTTTGATTCATTCTTAATTCCCAAAGGTACCAGAGAGCAAAACTTCATTCTTTGCAAGCTTAACAAGATGAAAGCAACAATGTCGGTTATCAGCGAAGAAGTCAGTCAGTCTGAAATTCTTAAAACTTTCTTCTGTTCTTTACTTTTTTGCTGGGTTTGTTTGATATGTTCATGTTATTGCCTTTTTGGAATTGTTATGTTTAGATTAGTTTAAGAGGAAATTATATTTAGTTTAGTTTAAGGTGATTTTTTTGAAATGTTATTGCCTTAGTTTAAACTATTTTTTGCCCGATTTTATGGTCGTACCAAAGCTTTGAAGGAGTTTCGCGTCTGCATATCTTGTAACACGAAATACAACATTTGATATGGCATGTAATAGGTTGGCTAGTTTAGGGGTTTTTATCATGTCACGACATTGGTAGGGCAATTAGTGTAACGAGTCAGTCGTTACACTGATAGGCGTGTAAGACCCCATGGTTGGCGCGTTACAAGATTTGACTTGTTATGCATGGTATGTAATGGCATTTGACTTTCTATAGTTGGTGTGTCACCACATTTGACTTCTTATGCATGGCGTGTAACAACATTTGACTTGATATTCCTAGCGTGTAACAATATTTTACTTGTTATGTAGGGCGTGTAACCACATTTTACTTGTTATGCATGGCGTGTAACCACATTTGTGCCGTGTTTTACAGATGTAGTCCAGACAATATGAGGATCTTGACAATAGCCTTATTGTGCCAAGAGAGAAGTGGGCGTTCAATGTCTCTATTAACACCCATTGTAAGTGGTCGTAACTGCATTACATCAGCAAAACTCTCTAAGAGAAAGGGGAGTATGATGCAATGAAGCGAACGTGCTTCAGAATGCTGTTGGACGTATATCCGCAAGGTTACTTTTTCGCTGGACTCCTGCATAACATCATGATTCGTCGAATCAGTGAAAGAGATTCAATTGAGCATAAGCTATGATTTTCCATTGGCAAGAGCAAGGCACGTAGATCGAAGTAGGAGTTTTTCTTTATCACGGGACTAAAGTTCGATCGAATGCCCGATGTATTCAGTCGACCGTACAAGGTTGGTGCGGACAAAATTCATGTGAGATACTAGAATGGGCAGGAGAGCATTAAGCTGCAGTGGTTGCTTCAAACGTTCTGCGATGGCAACTTTTAGTGACCAGGAGATGCAACCAAGATGGCACTAATCTTGATCCCGAAAAACATTTTATTTGGTCAAGACTATTGTAGACGGGTGACGCCTTGGCTGTTCTCATTGGTGGAGGACATCGATGCTTGGAATGTCTTCCTATGGGGTCACTATGTTTGGAGGCTGAAGTTGGATTACCTTTTGAAGGGGTTCGAAGTCCTTGCCACAAACTCTCAAAAGGATACTCGTTTATGGTACAACATTTACAAATTTGTGTGGGTGATTCAAGTATTGTCACATAACATTTAACATTTTCCTTTTGACATAATAATATGGTTGTACTCGTTTAGCATTTACGGTTTGATAATGGTTACTTTTGACATGCAATTCTGGGCAATGGAGGCAATCCCGGCCTTGCAACAAATAGTTACCCCATCTGCTCTGAAGGACAACGTCTACCCACGTATGTGCAAATAACAGTGCAATCAGAAGCTAAAAGACTTCTACAAGACAGTTCAGAAGTTGAAGTCATCTGAGCATGTGAGTGAACAACTACTAATTTTTGCTATGAATTTGTAAACTAATTTTTTATAAAATTTAATCAAAAATCGTATTTTACTGTTTTGGGCTGTCGAGACATTGGAGCAGACCCCGGAGGAGGTCAGACGGGACTATTTTGTTGACATCGATATGCCATTATTTGAGGGCCACCAATACTTGTCAATCGGGCAGTTGGATGATCGAACGGAATGTGGCTTAAGTGTGAAGGAAAATAGAAGGAACTTGAGGTAGAAAAGAGCTACTAGTGCCATGACGCGAAGGCGAACCGCCATGCTGAAGTTGATGAGCTGTCGCGCATCGAGTTGATAGAAGAAAGGGATGACCATGGCAATGGTAGTGAATAGCCAGTAAGGATGGTTGTATCGATTTTTGTTCAACAATGCGATAGGTGATTATCGACTAACCCTCTGTGTTCACAGTTGGACGATGCAACGATAGCCCCACAACCACTGAAAGTTCCTCCTCATATGCATAGTGGTAACGAGCTGTCGGTAAGATCGATTTTAACAGTTTGGTTTCACCATTTCTATATGTGTTTATCGAGTAGCAGAGTTATTTCTGTTATTGCAATTGACAGAGGTGACGACAGCTCTTGAATGACCGAGCGGTACAGCTCAACTGTACAGTCTGAACTAGCCTCCGGTAAGGAAATTAAAATTGTAGTAGTTAATGTTCAACAATGATTATTGAATAACACAATAATAACACTATATGGTCTTGCAGTTAACCCATGCGAGAAGAGTCAATGACAGAGTAATCACGATACGTGAGCTGTGACGGGTCATGCGCAAGCATGAAAAAGAGATGTTGGAGCTAAAGGAGTCAATTCAGTCATTGACTCTCGCAATACAGACGATAGAGGATCGTATCGTTCGTCGAATTCTAGATGGCTTGAAATTACAAGTACATTATTCTATCTTTGCTCATATAGTTCTGGTTTACTTTCAACAATTGTAGTTTAATATTTTATTACCAGTTTATGATTTATGATATTTTTGGAGCTAACAGATTTTCCTATTTGACTCCTTCTATAAGGTGGTGCTTCATCTAACGTTGATGGTGATGACCACGGTGGTGCTGATGATCAACAGCATGATGAACCTGGTGTTCACATGCACCATGACATTGTTGTTGATGATAGAGAGAATGTTGCTGCGATCGATTCGAATATTGATGCATCTACAGGATGAGAGGGGGACCATCACTCAGTTGTGGCTGAAGGGGACCATCTTCCTAAAGTTGATGTAGCAGTCGAGGCAATAGTTGAAGGGGATGGGAACCTTGCATTAGTTGAGGCTGAAGGGGACCGTTTTCATCACATGACTCATGAAGGCAGCACCTCACGAGTGTCGTCACTAGATGTGTCTAGTGTCAATCATCGGGTAGCACTGATTTCAGACCCAACTAAACAAGCACAGGTGAGAATGGCCAGCAAATACATGGCAAGCCCGTATGTGGACCCGCCAGTGAGCCGGCGGGATGTTAAGACGTCAATGGTGGAAGGGTACGAAGCTTTTAAGAGAAACGAGTGTGTGAGGTAAGCTAATAAATAATATTGAAAATATTGTTTTCGAATGGAAAATTAAGCCACCAAGCATTTTGAAATTCATTCTATTACATGTTTAGGCGTAACGTCGGAATCATGGGGGATCAATGGGCTGATATTTTTAGAACATTAGAGGACCCTAAAGAGGAAATGACAACTGAACAAATAGATGCATGCCTCAGTGTACTTTGTAAGCGGATGACAGGACCAAAGTCAAGACTATACAGCACCCATCCATAGCTCGTTGATATGATATTCTTCATAAGTTTATTCGTAAATTTTTCAATTCTAAAAAT